GCAATCAGGTTACTAGAGTGACATGGAATTTATTCTCAGGAAATCTCATGTATAATACCAAACAAGAGAAAACCTGAACAAAGAAGCCCCTTATTACATTTTTGCTGTATAATTTTATTATTTTGAGACATTTGTTGCAAATAGCCAGCCTTAATGTCAGCCTTTTAATGACATGGTGGAGAAGATCTAGAATGGATATAAAGAGCAGAGAGGGAAAAAGGCTTTGGAGAAAAGGGTTTTTTATATTTCTTGATTGTATAATTACTCTACATTATTTTCAGAAATGACTAACAGTTTGCATATATAACCTAGTACCTGAAAGGTAATTTAACTGAGCCTTGAGATTCCTCCTGAGAGTTTACTTGAATGGCATCTGTTTTGAACAGTGCAGAGAAAAACAGTTTTACAGTTTTTTTATTTTTACTGCAAAGCCAACCCTTGAAAGAATTAGGCACTTTTATAGCTAAAGTTGCTATCAAAGGTGTCGTTAGAAGCAGCCATCAACATATCAGTCAATTGTTAATAACCTGCGGATATAGTTCTATATAAAAATCAAAAGAAAATGGTATAAAAAAATTCTGCCTTCAGATCGACAGATTAGATTGTATAGAACTACTTTACACTTCCTACTCTTGTAGGATGATTTGAATCTAATTTTACAGCCACTAAAATCCACTTACATTGCAGTCACTAACCTTAAATTAATTCAGTATCAGATAGGGATGTGTTCTCTGGCTGACATAAATGTGCACAAATTCTTTCTGAATTTTTTTGTGAATATTCTTCAGAATATTCTTCAGGGTAAGCTAATCATGAGAAAGTCTATTTGTTGCAATATCCCCTAGAACAAGCCATGGAGAGCACCATGGCAGTATATCCCTAAGGTTTACACATCAATGAGTAGAAAATAGTTCACAAAAACATCGACACTTTTAAAGGAATTTGTAGAAATTTTTTTAATCATGGAAAACTTTGTGAGTACGGAAAATGTTTTCCTTGGCATTTTGATAGGTAAACCAAGGGAGTCAAGCACGTGACCTCCACTGAATGCTACTGGCATTTATTCCCTCCCTGACTCTCTTAGTCACTACTTCTACTAATACTACATATTAATAGCTGCACAGACAATCAAACTACACATAGAAAATTACTCCTGCTCCAGATACGGGCATTCTCTATATGTCAGCAATAGGGAAAGCATTATTCAGATGAAAGAGGGCTTTCATAATGGAGGAACAGAAAGAATTATTTCCCTCTTCCTCCTCCCACACTTAACTCCCATTTTAATAGCTGCCTTTGCAGTACTATCTATGTTTTGGTTGAAGACAACAGATGTATACAGTGATTATTCAGAAACACAGTAGCATCTACACGGTGCAATGAAATTTTTAGTGAAATGACTTTTTATTAAATTAATAGTTTAAAATATTCAGTTATGAAAATCCTGATGCTATATTTACCCCTCAAAGGCAAAATTACCTAATTCACCTAAATTACCGATTGCTAAGTATTCACTGTGCAGTGAATTTTTTATGGACGCACCTGAAAATTATTGTATTTCATTCGAGCTTTATTACTGCAGGGAATGAACTATCTATGTTTTTAAAAAAAATCATGCATGTCTCAGTTTATCTATGAGAAGTCACCTTGTCTAGTAGATACATTCCCTAAAGGGGAATGTGAGGGGGAAATCAACCAACCAGTTCAATAATGAAGATATTCACTGTCCAACAGAATTGCAAAAGATCCTTCCAAAATCACTTGAAAAAGCTGTTATTTTTGGATTAGCTTTGTTCTGTTTCCACCAAGGCTGACAAAATTTCCTCTTCCCAATCATTAATTAAGCAAAAGGACAACAGGGTAAAATTTCAAAGATGCTGGATTAAAATGGAGAGTTATTTAGCTGTCAGCAACTGTCCCCAAGGGAAACACTGACAAAGACAAAATCAGAAGGGAGCCTTCTGCTTCTCAACAGAAGTTACGATTCCAGAAATTACAGCAATCAGGCAGCATGGAATGAACAACAACAAAACTAGTATTGCTTCTGTTTCCTATTGTCATTGTACATTGCCATATGTACTTCCGGGCAAATAAATAATCTTTGCTCTGCATTTCTAACAAGGTTGTTGGTCACAGTTCTTTCTTAAAGGAGGCCTTCCTCTCTTACCTAATAACAACAGATAATGGTGAACATATCCTGGTTTTACTGATTAAATCTCAATTTACTGATTAGAGAAGACTAATCCTCTTGAAATTAAAAGCAAGTAAATCATCTTCATTCACTACAACAGCACAAAATATTATGTGGCATCTGCTGGGGAGCACTTCAAGGGATTCATCATGTTAGTTCTGTCTCTGGTCTTTTTTCCTTTATTACTAATGTCTCCACTTAGCCATCTTTCACTTTTTCTTTTTATTAATCTACCTTTTTCAAAAATAAATTATAAAATAATCGTGTTTTTTAAATGACTACACTTTGTTCACAGGCTCTTGATGAAATGATTTGAAAGAATTCTCTTCCAATCTTCAGTGCATCAGTTTAGACAGGCTAAAAGCCTAGGTAATAAATCCTAAAGTGGGATTGCTTATCATTATTTCTCTTCAAATGCCTGTTCTGTTGGTGAGACAGTTTCCAGGCACCTACTAGTTTTTCCTAATTGTGCCTTTTCCAGTAATTCGAACCAATCCTGCTTCAACAACTGTTCTGCAGTAACTTCTGGGTAAAATCCTAATATGGAGAAAATATATTATTTACATTGATTAACGTACTACATGCATATAACTCATTGTAGTGGCCTTACAACTCATCTCTCAAAAGTCTCCAAAGCAAAAGGAGTACACATATGCCAAACACAGCTAGATCTCAAAAGTTAAAATTTGTGTGCAACAGGAGGCACCCTTCACTGATTTTTGGATTAGAAATGGTTGGACCATCAAGTCACTGGGCAGGGGGTAGGGAAGGAGGGGAGGAAGGAGAGAGAGGATGTGTGTGGGTGAGTGAGAGAGACAGAGAGAGAGAGAGAGACAGAGAGTGTATGTGTGTGTGTGGTAGTCAGAGAACACAGAAACACTCAAGGAGGTCTGAGTAGTTTAATACTCAGCTCACCTTGAAACAGTTACAACTGCCATAAATCAATTCAATGTAATATTTCTGAAAAAGACATATAGTGAATAATTTTAATGTATTCATTCTGAAGCCTGAGATTTGATTGCCTTTCAATTTCAATGGCACAAAAATACTGAGTTCACACAAAAATGGGAAACCAGAGGAAATTGTTCTGTTCCAACTTTCAAAAACATTCACTTCTTTCAGAGATAAAAGTACAAATGCATTAGAAATGTAAATGCATTCACATCTAAAAAGCTCAAGTTGTTGAAAAGAAAAACGTCAAAGTTGGTGTTGCACAAAAAGATCAATTCCTTACTTTGTTTTGGGGGCTTTAACAGTGAGTCAAATAAGAGTTTAAAGCAAGGCCATCCTATGTTATATGAAATTTATTAAATGGAAATACTCCTCTAATAGTGAAAAATTGAAGACTACCACGAGCGTAAGAAAGGATTTTGCACTGACATAAATTACTATCAGATGAATAGAAGAGTGCTGCTGGTATTCACATGATCTCTCTATATGTAATAGCTACATGTATAAAATAAGGTGAGGCCCTTTCTCTACTGATGCCTGACATTTTGTAAAAAGCAGCATTTGGTGCTACTGACAAGAAGGCAGAGAACAGAAGACACTCATTTCACAACTCCACACTAGTTAACTAGTCATATTTTACCTACTAGAATCTATATACTCCCCCTTTCCGTCCCACCTACTAGAATAACTAAAAAAAATAAAAATAAAACCTCAGTTCAAAAACGTATGTATGTTGATAATTTTTAGAGCAGATTCTCCTGCTTTATTTTTTATAGATTGAGTACTCCTAGAAAATGCTATGTAGGTACAGTAACTAGCATCTATCTACTCTAGGTTTAAATGTCACAGAGTTCCCAAGATGGCTTTTGCTGACTAAGGTCCAAGGTGTTCTTGCCAGAGAACCTTCTCTGCAGCTGAGAAGAAAAACAGCATCATCCTTTTTACTCCAATGTTCATTTTCCCTCTGTGCTGGCATGTGACATGGGGTCCTACACATGCCTAAGGAAGGTGAGGAAACTACTGAAATAAGTTATTTGAGCTTAAATTAATTTAATTAAACACGCTGACAAGAAAAATGGTTGGAAAATTGTGCAGGAGAGTTAGAGTGATACAAAGTGTTTTTAAATAGGAAAAAGAGCTTTTCCTAAGAAGCTCTACCCAAGCCACAAATACCCCAGCACCTCCTGCTTCTCCTCAGTGACTCATTGCCCTTCAAAAACCTTTAAATTATTTCCTTTAAATTTTCATTCCCATTAGCAAACACACAGAGTACTCCCAGGTTCCTCCAACATCCCTCAAACAGTAGCTGGGCAAAAGACACGAACTGTTACAACGTGTTCCAAGAAACGCCAGTGCCACCTGTCCAGGCCAGCAAGCCATAAGGAACAGGTACGTAGCAAGCTCATGCTGCAGCCTTTCCCTTAGTGGGATAATAATTTTTGTCCCTTTCCTGTAATAAGCCAATGTTTTAAGAAGTTATCAGGAATATTGTACTTTCAAGCCATTTTTTTCTGATTTCAAAACTGATGAAAATGGCTACTGGTTTCAAATCTTGTGGGGGAAGGAGGGAAGAAAGACTTGCAAATTAACAGATAGTGTAATTGTAGAAGACTTGTCCCCTTAGGAACCAGGCCAAAAAAACACTTTTTTTTTTTCCATAGAATATACTGTAAAATGCAGACAGACTTCCTTACTATAAGCATATCTAAACACAATAAACTACTAGTTAGATATAATTTCTCATGGATACATGGATTTCAATAATATATCAGCAACGACAATAATATCTGCTATTGTAATAAACAGTTTGTAGGCCCCTGGACAGAAAAATAGTTGTTACAATATTGCACAAATTTACCTTGTATGTTAACTTGTTCTTGGTATAATTGGGCACCCTTAATACTGTTTGAGTGACCTGTCTCACTTGGCAGTCTATCACAACATGATCCAGTGCCAGAGGTTTCTTCCCTATTCCCTTAAGGCTAAAGGTGTTTTCAGTGCCATCTGTATAATTTCGTAGAATAAGCTTTCCCTGTGTCAAAGAAAGAAGAAAAAACATTTCAGCGCTGCAGAAGTCTTGTCTGGCTGCCAAAGGAACTACTTTAGTCTATTAAAGAAGTAAAATTCAACAAAAAAAGTAAGCTGTCAGGAAAGTGTTCCTACTGACTTTCCTAGTTCATATGTAAGCTTTTCTCTTAAACTGAAGAAAACTGCAGAAAGAAATGCCTTTTTTTCTTCTAAGTTATAAAGTTATTGACAGAAAGCCTTCATACTTCTAAGCTTCTTGGCTTCTATCTGAAAAATAAATACAATGTCCAAGCAAATATGTTCTCATACAACCTTGTATAAAAAAATAATATTGCTCAATCATTTCATCTGTATGTCAACTAAAGTGTTCATGATTATTAGTCATTAAAGGATTCAAGGCTTTGAGCTTTTAATACTTTTATAACACTGGATTTCTAAACTACATTATATATGGTTGGTAATGCATGTAGATGGATTATTAATGTTTCACAGAGCAATTATTTTTAGTCTTTGCAATTCGCATGCTTGAATAGCATCCTGCAGGTAAAATTACTCTACTAGTACACAGGCCAAAATATGTACACTGCTTCTTTTAAAGGTGTCATAGCCTTTGCTCTGCTTTTCATTTCAGCATTCAGAATAGCAATTACTCTGGTGGCAAAAGTAGCTTGTGCCTTAGCTTGTAACAGAAATTATTCTATGTAATAATCAAATACCCATTACCAAATACTCATCACCAAAATTCACTTGTGATGTATGTATGCAATGAGAAATACTCAGTGCTACTACTTCATGATTTAGGCAATGAAACACAATTCAATATATGTATTTAAATTAAAACTTAGCTTTGGAAAAGGTAGTTTCTTTGGGTTTTTACTTCAGTTACTAGGAAACCTTTCCATTTCTGACTAAATCAGAAAAACTCTTAATCACATCCTTAATGGTAGTAACTTCTTAAGCACTTCCATAGTTGGAAAGCAGATACAAGTTTTATCAATGGAAGCATTCCTTTTAAATGTTGAAATTAATTTCTCTCTTACCTTTGTTATGCACTCAGCAATAGGCTTGAACATGAGAGGATATCGAGTTGTTTCACCTGGGCCCACATATATTAGAGGGGGACCATAAAAACTCTGTCCTTCCAGAACTGCTTCAAGTTTCCAGTCCTGACTGGACATATTACTCTGAAATCAAAGGTAAACATGTAAATTACATTCTACATTTAAAGCTCTTAACATTCGTTTCAGTTTTCACTTGCAGCTACCATCAAATCAGAGCACAGAATTCAGCTTAAAGTACTGGCTCAGAGCAGCTTCTGGGAAAATAACATGGTGTACTTTAAAAATATATTAAACTAATCCTAAATCCACTATTCCTGCCAGCCAGAGCTACTAGTAGCAATACTGTCACTATCAATACTGGCAGGAAGAAAACTTTCTAGAAGAATATGTGCAAAGAATATGTGCATGACACAGCCAGTGATCAAGATGGAATTTTACAAATATCACTATAAACATTTACAAGCATCTGCATGGAGCTCTTCAATGCTTGCCAAAATTCTCTTCTTTTTCCCAATCTACCAAGAAACCTAGCGTACCTCTCTGAAGTGCTGATGTGGTTGGTATACTCATATGTATTGCTGCACTTGGCCACTGACTGTGCTACCTGATCAGTTATGCTTACTAATTAAGGATTCAGTCTCCCAAAGGAGTATTTACAGTTCAGTGTTCTCAAAAATGGTCTTTCTAGAGAATAATCTTTTTCATAGAATGGCTGTCCTGAGTGATGTGAAAGCCTATTTATGAAACACACTTGCCTTGCTTCCAAACATATCACAAGAATGCCTGATAGAGGGTAGAAAGTGAGATATTTTGTAATATCTGCCTGAGGGTTGCATAGTGAAACTAAGATACTGGTATCCAGCCTCTTAATATTTGAAGGAAACACATGACCAACATCCAGTCTGCAAAAAGGTAACACCCATCTGAAAAAGCCAGAATAAGCCGGCCTCAAAGAGGTAGCACCTGTCTGGACAAACCAGAGAAGACCGTTGTGACCTATGAAAAGCAGAAGTAATCCTTTGAACCAGAATGGTCTGGACCCTTGGAAAAATGTATACAAAAACCAGAGATATAGAATAGAGTTTGGGGGATATAGATGACACCCACTTCAATTCTGGCTTCCTTCTCTGAAAGGCTCTCAAGCCCAGCTATCTCAATCGCAGAAACTAAGAACCACCACCAGCTCTGGCCATCAGATCTAATAACGTGGCATGAGATCTGCACTGTCATGTATCTAAGGTTTTATTAAAATATATGATTAATGTTTAATTCTTAATTGTTAACAGATAGATTGCCTGGTAGTCGAGCACAAATGCTTGTTTGGAGTTTTGAAATTTGTATAGTGCCTCACTTTTTCAAAATACTCCTATTACTGTGGTCCCCAATTCTGTAATAACAGTTGCAACATCTGTGGTAGAAAACATGAAAAAAAAAAAAATTCCCTGATATCCACATGCTGAAGACAAAGCGAAAGAGTGAAAAAGGATTCAAAAGATTATTTTTCTTCTCATGCATTTTTCCCCACAACATTAGGAAAAACATTACCCTTTTTAAAATCAGCTTGACTAGTTTTAAAACTGGCAGATCATTACCCTTTGTTAAACTATTGTTTTAAAAGGGGGGTGGAGGAAAGACTCATCGCTGTGATTAGTCCTTGGCATGGCAAAGAGGAAGACAGTCAAAATTTGGGTGGTTGTTATGTTTTCAATGATTTCTAGTGCCATTGGTATCAGATGCTTCCTTTATCCATATTAGTGATGTTTACACCAGCATGCAGCATAAATATTTCTCCTTAATCTTGAACACACAAATTTGTCACCTGGAGTAATGTACAACTGAGAAATATAGTCACTTTGAAATTCTTCTGTAACAAATCCTTCTAATACAGCATGAATTTGTCCAAAAATATATATCAACAAAAGTTATTAAGGTTAAGTACTAAATATTAGAAAATGAAAAAGTAATATTTGATAAACTTTAATTCTAATTCCTTGTACCTATGCACTGACAAACAATTTTTATTATTCGATCATCTCTTTCTTACAGGATGTTTGCTTAATATAAAGTCTTATTCAAAGGCAATTCACATCAAGAAGACACAATTAATGTTAAGGGACTAAAAATTGTTTCGCATGAAGAGTGATCAAATTCAAGGTACATAATAAGGCTGATATCTACAGGACTTAAATGTCATTTACTGGAAAGGCTGCAAATGAATGACGGAACAATTATAGTCATCTCATGCTTGTGAAAATTACAGAAACGTAAAGTATTCAGCCTTAACTCATACCAAGAAATGATACCTTAGTTGGTATTCAGGATGGTTTCAGGTCTCATTCTTGTTCTCTAACTCACTGTGTGGCTTTAAGCAAAGCATTCGATCATTTTGTTTGTCCCACGTACAAAATGTTTCTCCTGCCATACAGATGTTGCAAGAGTTGGTTTGCTATTGTCTGTAAAGTGCTTTGGGATCTAAATATTAGGTTCAAAGAATCAAGTTTAGCAGACTGAACAAACTCATTTATCAGTTTCACTCCATATGAACATCTGTCTCCACAGAGTATTGCAAAGTTCAGTCATTTGAATGACAAATACAGCAGTGATGTGGAATAACAGAACATGTAATAACAGAAACATGGAAAAACTTTTAATTCTGTGTTCAATTCAAGATTTGGAAGACATACAGTAAATCAGGCATAATGTTAGAGCAAGAATGAATATAGGTAAAATTTTAAAACGTCTACTTCCTTTCTAAAGACATTTATTTTTTATACCGAATGTGAAAGAAACCTTGTGAAAAAATAATGTGCAATCCCAAAATTAAGACTAAAATGTAAAAGGACATGAACAACTTCACATTTTTGTATGTGTTAGTTTATCAGTGTTTGGCTTTGCAAATTAAGGGCACATATTTTAGAACAGATTTTGTGACCATGTGTATGCATTCAACAGAAAGAGATGGACTAACAGGGACATACATATGCCCAGTATATGCTTCTTTTGGCATTTTTTTGTATTTCTTTTCTAAGAAAACAAAAGGAACTTAAAAGCACAAAAACATGACTCCCAATGACATTTAAAAGCATATACATAAGAACATTCAGCAGCGAATAAAAATCAAAGAATAAAGCAAATCTGTTTAGAAGCCCTCTTCTGAAGGGAGAGGAAAAAGCCTTTGCTTTCTATGTTACCCAATATAATAGCTGCATTTCAGCTAATGGAACATTCAATAAATCCATGTTTAATAAACAATACATGAATATAGTCCAAGATATCCATAAGAAAAGATAGTATTACGATTAATTTTCTTTATGAATTTTCATTACTATTTTTTTCTTACTCAGTGAACTACTTTCAGTATTTCACTAAGCATCCACAGTATGGTACTTCCCTAGATACTAAGTCTCTCTGTTGGGATCTGCCTCCACTTCTTCACTTACCAAATCTCAGAATAACACTTCTCTAAAAAACACTCACTAGTATTCTTCAGTTTCTAATATAAAAAGGTTGTTTCAAGTACATATATCTGCTACATCAA